GGGTCGGACAGCATTTGTAAAGCTGGATCCAAATAGGAGGTCCATCTAAAAACAATTAAAACTAACGGTCCAAATGTTTTCTTAATAGAATTATTATTTTTAGTTTTTCAAATTTATTTATTTATTTATATTCATGATCTCCATATTTAAAATTATACATTCTCTAAAAATTAAGATCAACTATTTCAAAAATAAATTTATTGAGGGGCCCGCATTTCTACATGCTAATCGTATCCTTGTCTAAAATCCATGTAATAGATGTAAAAGAAGAAATGCAACAATAAATCCCAAATTTGGCTCATAAATTCTTTTGGACCCTACAAAGAAACCTACTAAAAGAATATGGAAATAAATAAAAAAATTGGGAAAGCCCCAACAAATTCTTTTCTTTCAACTCATTGAGCAAAGGCCTTCCATTTCATAAGTTGCTGGATTGAGGCCTTCAAGAACTAATAATTCATTTTTATTATACTTAAACTTTTTTTATTTCTTGAAATGAAGCGATGTACAGAATTTAAGACCAAAAAGAGTCCACATGATTCCCCAAGCTAAAAATATTCTTTTTTTCTTTCCTAGAGTGGCGAACTCGTATTTAAAATGTTTTCTCTTTTCTTAGGACCCGTTTGGCTTATTGGATTCAGATTTTCAGGAGTCACTTTTTTTAGAAAAGTTGGGCAAATCGTGTTTGGTTTGTTTAGAACGATATTTCTATTGGAATTGAGATTTTTTGTGGGATTCCTAAATGCTCATTGTAAGCCTAAAGTTTGGAAATCTCAATTCCACCAAAATATGTAGAATTGATATTTCATGGAAATGATCCATTTTACTACTAAAGAACAAAAAAAATATAAATTTTAAAGAGAAAAACTATGTCAAATTTTAAAGGAACAAAACATATTAACATTTTAAAGAGGGAAACTATATCAAATTTTAGAAAGATAAAGTATATGAAATTTTTTAGAGAGAGAAAATATATAAATTTTTTTAGAGAGAAACTATCTCAAATTTTTAGATAGAGAAACTATTTCAAATTTAAAGTTTTAGGGAGATCATATTAAAATATATTAAATTAAAAATAGTTTATAATTACATCAATTTAAATTAATTTTTTTTAAAATTGAAATGTTTTTATGGTTGTCTTATTTGAAACAAAGTTTGGATTTTTTTAGTTATAATTTTTTGTGTTAAAAGTGATAACTAATAGGCAAATTTTCTACCGAATATTTCCCAAAGTAAAATTATTTATCCAAGGCTTCACATAGACAATGGATAGAGCATTCACCTACACCGTCCATCAAAGATGGTCACTAGGGTCAAACTAAAATTGATCTTGTACCAACCAATGTTGAGGTTAATCAACTATATGGATCAATATTCAAATGTCTCATTTTATGTGCAGTTGCACATTACATCCATTAACTGTAGTGTAGTTGCATCCGATAATGGGGTTGGGTTGTGGTGGTAGCACTACTTGTACCATAACTAAGGTCCAGTTTCTATTTTTACCTATTGTCTTCGAAAACCACTAATGATTTAAAAAAGGAAAAAGTTTATATAACATTGCAACCTTAAAATGTATGGGAAAAATTTATATAAAGTTGCAACCTTAAAATGTAGAATCACATATGCACCTCAAAAATCTATCAGAAATATTGTTTTAATGTTGAAAAAGCCCCCTAATCAATCATCTCGATATTGAGATCTATGAATATGAAAAAAAAAGTTTTTGAATATTGGAAATAGTGCATCTTGGAACATATTATCTAGACCATCCAGTTTCAAGATTTTTAAATATTTATAGATCTACTTGATTTTAACTATTTTTGGAATTTAAAATTTTCTAATTAGGTATTAAAATAGATTTTAAGATAATACTAAGAATTTTTTACAACAAAATTACATGTTATAATAAAATTTGAAGGTGCGCCTTAATTGGATCGTTTAAGGTTGCAACCTTATAGAAACCGTACCTTTTAAAAAATGGGTAGGGGCTCTTCATTCCCTCTGAATTACCAAAAAAAACTGTAGTTGCATCAAGTGTCCTTCGAGCTTCACAACCATTTAATCTATGTTTAAATTACAATCAAGGTCATGCTGACCATGCATAACTCCATGATTAAGCACCATCCTGCTTTTTTTTGTAATGTTATTAAGCATTAATCCTACTTAATGTTGTATTCAAAGAGACCATTTATTCTTAACCTAGGGAAGACGCAATCACTCTTGTACGTCAGATTTCAAGTTGAGTGGTTGTGAATATGTCATTGACTAAATTCAAAGTTAAAAAGAAAAAAAAATCTCGAACTTTGTAAAAAATCCAAATCCAATTTGACATCTAATGGTTAGTAGCAATCATGAGCTCTTTGTAAGAAAAGTGCATCCTAGAATTGGTATTTACTGGAATTGGCATTTCGTGGAATATGGGTGTATGCTATTAGGACTTTGGATAGCATTTGGTAGAGACCAGGAAAAGTCAATTCAATGTTTGGATTGCTTAGAATATGTTTTCACTAGAAATTCTGAATGCTTTAATGAATTCTTATTATTCTAAAAAAATTAACCATTTCCAATGTGATCATTGAATCCTTTTTTCTAGTGTTTGTCCAAGTGAGACAACATTTAAAAATTACGGAGTTTGCAATATCATTTCTAATAACACCCAAAATTTGACATGATATATGACTCATAAAGACGTATTTTATGGTGAAGCAACAAAGTGTGCAATTTTATCTTTATTGTGCCCTCAGATCTATTACCTTTCACCGAAATGAATGCAAGAGAGAAGAGAGGAAAAGAGACGAATACAAGATATGTATATACATAGCGAGAGAAACCATAGAAAGTGGATTGCTTTTGCCATATAATCTTGCAAATGTTTGTGAACATTGTTTTTCATCAAGTTATGTAAAGTGGAGTGGATTTTGGGTGCAGCCACATGATTTTATTTGTGATCAAAGCTGCACAAACAAAGTCGTCTGCATTATGTAGAGTTCTGGTATCACAGAGGACTGAAAGTTCAGATATAAAGGTCCTGCACCAATTTCCTTAGCACTTGAAAGGGTATTGACGACAGCAATCCTGGATTTCATATCAAACGTATGTCCATATTAATAAATTGCATGAGCAAAGTTTCGAAATTTGCATTCCCATACACTAAATGTCAAAAAGCAAGTTATTATAATATCATTCATTCACATCACATTCATTCAAAACACTTGCCCGGAGTTGCAACAAAAAGAAATAGTATATTTCCTAACATTATAGTCTAAAATGGACTTAGCAAGAAAATGAGAGATTAAAAGTTTGTGAACCACTATTTCATGATATCATGAAAATACAAAATACAATTGTTGACATGAACACGATAACGGCCAGTATAGTGATAGTCTTCAAAACACTCCCACTTCAAGGCCACATGTCCTCGGTGAATTGGTCATTGTTGACCTTGATATGCATGATATCGTGCCTCAGCCTCCTCAAAAGTTGAATTGGAGCAGTACACTGCATTGGGGAACCCCAGTACTTGCTTGGAGCATTCACCCCAGGTCATATAACCCAGGTTTACGGCCAACAGATACAACATAAACCCTAGGCATTTTCTGGAACAAAAAAAAATAACATGAAATATAAAATATGCGAATAAACTGCATCGTCTACATACCATGTAGCTTCACTACATATCTAACAAGGAATTTGTGTACACATCCCCATCATAACACAGATCTATTTATGGGTATCAACAATGATATATTATAGATCATGTATCAATAAAACCACAACATCATGCCAAGGGTTCCATAACTCGAAAAAATAAATTGAAATATAAACAAACCAAACAAAGAAAAATGCAACCTAATATGTTTTTTTAAATATTCTGTGCATATAATTCTATTGCACTCATCATTGGCCATTTACATTTTATACATGGTAAGGTCTATGCTTTTGCGGTGGAGGAGTTCGCCACCCCAACAGGGCCCAAAAAAGTTAGCTGTACCGATGTGGAACTGTTTCAATATAACTCATTCAAGGGTGCCAGAATATACGTAGATTGAGTTGAAAATATATGCTACATGAAACATAATAAACTTTGAAAGTCAAATAAAAAGGGAACATAATGAAGTGAACACCACAGTTGGAGTAAATCATGAACTTAAGATGTAGAAAATGAAAAATATCATTGAGACACGCAAATCACAAAATCAATTAAAATCATGTAAAGGCAATGAAAAATCAGGTATTGGTTGATAATATGACCTTACAAAATAAAATTTGAAATCCAATTCTATGAGCTAAACAATCAATTTTTCTCAAGAGAATTATCTCAGAAAATAGGGACCCCTGAACAAACTAAGAAAGTTTCACGTTTCATAGAGTAATAATTTCAATTGGGAATTGCTTTCTTTGAGATTTACATACTGGCCAAGCAAGATCTGCAATCAATTACCACAATATATAGAATGAAGTTTAGAGCAAGTGAAGAATAACAGATTAGAATTAGATGACTGTGATGGTTCAGCATACCTTCAACTAGTATACTATCGAATCTACTTAATGACACAAGATGCAACAAATGATATAACAGATTACATGCACAGAACTATGACTGATCATCATAATAATTTTGCTTTTCTTTCTCATAACAATATGCATAAACAGTGAAGGAATAAAGCCATCAACAAAAAACTAATGCTCTATAAAGAATTGTAAATAAGATATAATGTGAGTTATTGTACTAACCAAAAATGAAATCATTTTGGTAAGTGGGCGCATAAATGAAAATCAAGTCAAATGGAGATAGTGACAAATCTAAACAAAAAGTACCTGCAAAGGATCAGAAGAAAGATATTTTTATGGCACACCTAAAACAATTTGCAGAACCATACTGCACAACATTAATTGAACAATGCCTAAATGCTGAAAAAAATAGCACCATGACTGAAGCTTTAAAAGTGGAAGTTCATCTCGATTCAAAAAGCAGTGTTTGCTCTGAAAAGAGAAGCTAAGGTATAAAAGTTGCGAAAGGCATTACATAGCATGTTCCCAAACAACCATACTCTCCACATAGCAAAATGCATAATAAAAAGAACAAGGATTCATGAAGACTTAATTCCCAAATACATCAAATCCTCAAGCACATAAAAAAAGAACAACATATAACCTGTCATAACACATGTCCAATGTTAGAGAGAGATTGAAACTCATCCATGTCATAACCCAAAAAGAGAGAGGGGAGAGAGCAAAAGAAAGACAAAGAGATAGAGAGAGAGAGGGATATCTAAAGTTTCCATAAAAAAAGAAATTAGAGAGAGACTTTGAGAGGGCCATAGGGATTGTATAGTCATCAGGCACCAGTTACAATCATCTGATCCACTTCGACACTTGGACTGAATCCATCTTGAGGAAGATATTGCTCATATTCACATATGAGCCGATCCCCATGCATGTTTTTGAAGCAACATCATCTGCAATACCTTCAATCTGGAAAATGGCCTCACAAACCTCATCGATATGAGGATTAGGAGCTTTTTTAAATTCTGCAAATGCAGACCCAAGGGCTGCCACTGCTTCAGTAATCATCTCTTAAGGTATCAGCCACTGCCCTCTTCTTCCTCTTTGTCTGCTGACTTCAGTTGAAGCAGGGGATTTACCCTTCTTACTAGAGCCCTTGAATGTGTAGGGGCCTCATGAATGTCTTCCTCTACAACATCCATACCAGGGTCTTCATCAACTAGAGCCTCCCTCGCACTCTCACCTATGTCTTCATCTTCTTGCATTGCATCCCACTCGGCCATTGCCGCTGTCCTCATACCTATTCCATCGGCTGTTGAGTTGCTTATGAGTATTTCCAACTCCTCATAATAGGGAAATGGTTTCCGCTTAGCATTGGGATGTGCCTATACAAATGTGGGTTATCATTAATGGTTAATATCAAAATTCACAATACAATTGATAAATACCCTCAAAGAAGAGCAATGAATATACTAACCGCAATTATTGTTCCCAAAGATCCTCGACACCAGTCATTGTCTGTCTCACTGAGTCCCAGCCAAATCCAAGTGTGGCTTATGAGGGTCTTAACTATCTTGTAGTTTGTACCCCATGTTTTAGCTTGTTTTTGAAGTTCTCTCTCTTCAGAACCATGCCTATTGCTCTGGTGAAAGCTTTCTCTACAACATTCCATTGTGCTGATTTGAAATCCTCCTCTGGCTTATTGCATGCCTGTACCTGTCCAACGAGCACATCAGCAAAGCTATTTCCATCTTAGGAGTCCACTGTATTTTTTTGGTCTTTGAGGTTGCCCTCCCGACCTCCATAACCTCATCATCCATGCCTAATTAAATTGTCAATATCATAAGATAACAACATGAATTGAAAGCAATATTTCACGGTCATAAGATTAATTCAACACATGACTACATTGACTACATCAATACATGAACTCAAAATTTAATATTTCAACAACATTTGACCAACAAAGCAGAAAACTAAGCAATGCAAAGATGATCCCTCCACATTTTCATTGCCATTTCACCCAATCATCCCTCTCCCTTTAACTCCTCCTAAATGTCTCTGATTCAGGAACCACAATGTTATCGTCCTCATCATGTCCTTCCACGTTGACATCTCCTCCAATTTCTTGGACTTCACCATCAACTTCTATAATGAAATTGTGCAATAAAAACAAGCAATGCCTATCTTTACTTGTGTCCTAATTGGATAATTAGTGGCAACCTTCAATGTAGGGAATCGTGCTTTGAGGACATCAAAGACACGTTCAATAGCATTTCGAAGCAAAGCATGTGTCTTGTTGAAAATCTCCTTATAGTCTTGAGGGTTCTGACTACCACGATTGAAATCACTCCTACAGTAACGCGAATGGCAGTACGAAGAGAGAAATCCTTGAATATTTGGGTAGCCAGCATCGACCAAGTAGTATCTTCCTATAAAACAATTAAACTGGGCATATCGTTGGTTTGTGTATATGCAGTTTTGAATATTAAAAAATAGTATAATGATTACCAGGGGGCACATGAAGAGGGTCCGCACATGTGAGTGAATATTGAAGAATACGAGAATCTGATGCTGAACCTTCCACCCTGCAAGAACATATAGAAATTTAGATTAAAGAAATCAAATACCCATAACATTATGTGATGTGAAGTGTGAAGCCCGTGCGATTCCTGTATTTACTCTGATGATACTAACATGAGCAGAGATGTGGGTGCCGTCAATGGCCCCAATACAGTCTGTAACAATCCTAAAAATTAAAAAAAAAAAAGAAAAAAAAAAAAGAAAAAGGAGAAAAGATGCTTTTAAATAGGTGATGGTATGTTTGAGTATGATGGTCCTTGGGGACCATCACTATTTTCAAAAACTTTTACTTCGTTTAACTTTTGCATGCCTGTTTTGCTTGCTTGCTTTTGCCTCCTGCTGCTTGCAGCTGGCAACGTCCTTTAGCGGACGTGGTTTTCGTACGATAAAAGTCTGCTTTTAACGCGACGCCTCAGGTATGAGGTAGAGCGTAATAAAACAATATAATAATACGTTATAAGAATTTAAATAGGGGATGTGAGCACTCCCACCCTAAAACAAAATTTTGAGATCTCTCTCTCTGGTCGAAACACAGTGAACTTCTCTCTCGAATAGAATTTTTTTATCAGAAGCTCCCTCTCAAATAATTGTGGGTAAGTGACATCGTCTTCTGAAAAATAGTCTATTTTTAATAAATAGTGATATTTCCGTCTAGGATCTTTATTTTATCAGTTTTATATGTAAGTGACCTCATTGTCTCGAAAAATAATCCATTCTTTTTAAAAATAAAATGAAACAATTATTTCTGCTTATTATCATGAATTTTAGGCGCGATAAATTTTATGCGCACGTGACCTCATTATCTTGAAAAATAATCTTTTT